GCATCTGGTCAATATTACAGGATCGTTGGAATATTGGTTACTTTGTCTCTTAGTGTCACCTGCAGTTTCAGTAAGTGGACATCCTGAATGCTTTTTTAAGATGTTGAATGAATTTTTTAACCTAAGAACTGAAAAGTGAAAGAATTAAAAGTAAAGCGTTGTTTTGCTGTTAGTAAACGTAGTGAATAGAGAAGGCTAGGTAACAACAGAGTCTTGCCTATGCCTCTTTAGACTGCCTTCTAGAGTGGCCTTTCTTACTCAGCAATTTAGGTAAGTTTATTCCAACTTAGTGGGTGATTATGCACTTTTCATAGCTCCATTCTTAGCTGCAAAATTCATTAGTGAATTTTGGCAAAGGCTTTGCTGAAGCCAACATATACTGTGTCTGTGTCACCTTCTGAATTGATCAAGGAGAAATTCATTTCCAAACTGGTTTCTGTATTTTAGAATGTAGCCTGGCACATTCTAGAATGTGCTCTGAGGCCAGGATTAAAAAAGCTCCCAAGGCCTAGGTAGATGATGTGTAACCATATGCACATCTTTAGAATAGAACTTACTTGTTCTGGGACACGTTTCTGGTGTCCTTCTCGTGACGGTGCAGAGAGGAAGGAAATCCATACCTCATCCCAATACGCACTGCTTCCCTATAGGAAGAACTTCATGTGAAACAAACAAGCTATCTTGTCCTGGCCAAGGACTCAATCTTGGACACTTGTCCTCCCATGTATGCCCAAGGAAAGCGTACCAAGGGAAGCAGGAAGGTTCAAGTTCACATTTCTGTCACAGCTATGCAATAATATAACTGTTCTTGATATCACACTGGGAGAGAAGCCTGAGCTGGCAGCAGCCAGCACCTTTCCCAAATGATGGCTTGGCTGCTTTGCTCTGTGAGCCTATCCCAGCCGTGTTCCAGTTTTTATCCATTTCCTATGAACAGCCTCACTGCTGTTGCAGATAACAGTGTTAATACGCATTTCTTTCAGAGACTTACATTACACTCTGCACACACTAGCAGTTCAAACTGATGGCTGCCAAGGCACTGGAGACGAGGGGCTGGTCTGTTCCAGACCCAGCATGTCTCCCAGGCTTCAGCTTGGAACAGGAGGGGTGCGTATGGAATGAACAAATCAAGCCAAGTGGAGCTCCCTGAGGAAAGGTGCTTGTCTTTATATTTCTCTATCCCAATGACTAAAACATTGTGCCAACTAAGTAGGTCAGTAAAACTGAGACCCTGCCAATTGTTGTGTAGCCTTGAGCCTCACCTGTTCGTATTCTCCAATCCCCTGTCAAATGGGTATGATGCTAACCATCACTGCCTCTTTCTAGGTGTCGAACAAAAATCGACCATTTACTTACTGTGTGTTAGGCACTGGAGATTCAAAGTTGGGGATGACAAGGCTTCAGATTCTTAACAACTATTGCACCAGCTCTACATTAGATGAGTATGGGAAGTACTGGAAATTAGCAGGGTGTATAACACCAGTCCATGGCTACAGTTTGTGAGACACCCAGTGTTTGTGTCTCTGTTAGCCAAATCTGAGGTACCTGCATGCTGTTTTCAGTTTGTTACAGTCCTAGCCTATGAGCCATAGTATGTATAGGATGCTGAAATACAGAGCCCTTCATGATTTTCTGGGTTTGACATTGGAGCATCCAAATCACATTAACAAAACATCTTCTTATTGTCAAAATTCACTTAGGATGTCACTTGTGAAATCTATTCTTTATCAAACACTAAAAAAGAATACATCATAAAATAATAATTATTATTATATGTTGTCACTTAGTGATTCTCCATCAACTATATTATTAGTCAGCCTTACAAATGGGAGACCTGTGTGGAAGCAATGTGTGCTGCAAGCAGTCCCCAGCACTCGGCTTGAACACGGGAGGCTGATACTGAGTGACCTCATGTCTAGGAACCTCTGCTACGACAGCTTCCTGCTGATAATGGGCATCTCAGCACTGGCTTTCTCGGGCAGAGCAAATCACATGGAAGCTAGAGTTTTTGTGAAGGTTCAGATTATGCGGTGCATGTACACGTGTGTGTGTGTGTGATTTTTTAAAGGGAGGTGGTGCTTGGTATTTACTCCAGGTGTTCAGCCTTGACAACACTTTGCAGGGCGTGATCACCAATGCCTGATGACTTGGTGAAGAATTAGGACAAGTCCACTTAGATAAGAGTTTATATGGGTTCTTATCTCAAGAATAGCAAGAAGATAAAAATGGATTAATATCCTTTAAGTGTTAATGAAAAAGATAACAATGGAAAATATACTGTGCATTTGCCATATTTTACAGATCTAACTCATTTTCAGAATTGAAACAGCTTGCACCAAATTTCCTTGTTGAATATATCCTTTCGGGAAACTATATTCTTTTCAATCGCGTTCCCCCTACTGTAATCGAATGCATCAATAGTAACATGAACTCAGCATGTTGGTTCATAAAACCTCATATTTCAAATACTGAAAATCAATTGTAATTGAGTATGTAAAAGTATGTACAATTCCATGTGGGTTTACCAGCAGGGCAGTGCATTCCACTTGTAATGCAAGATCGTCAGATTCTGCCACAAAGTAAATTCAACGTTCATGGAAAATTGAATTAAAAATAAGTGTATTTAGTTACAAATACTTTTAAATCCATGCATCTTATGGGTCTTCAAAAAATTCACAAAATTTGTGGATTATGAAAAACAAATGCATATATTTCAAAAATTTTGCACCCAGTAGACTTTCATTTACATTTTCCATGAAGTTTCTGGGGTACTCTAGTATAGAAAATATTGGGGGCAAGAACATACCTTTTAGAAATGGTTTCATTCTTCTCACTGTCTGAAATACCTTTGAATAGACACAGAGGTACACCCTGAAACTGCTATGCAGAGTTAGGCATAGCCCCTGAACACTGAGGAAAAGAGACCATGTTCCTTTACAGCCTGGAGCTTACTGCACTTGGATGGGCTCTGACAAAAGAGAAACTGTATTTTATTTAATTTCAAGACTCATTTCTTTTCATATAAAAACAAAAACTGCATGTATCTGTGGCCAAAAGTGATAAGTGCTTACATTATGAAATGATGAAACCAAAGTAAATAGCATATCCAACTTCTCACATATCCCCATTTTGCTATAACATTTGTGATATACTGATAAGTAATTGCCAAGTGTACAGTATGTTCTTATGAACTCTAATTACCAGGCTATACCATAGATCTTCAGAAATTATTCTGCCAAACTGAAACTTTGTATACTCAAACCAATACCTGCCCACTTTCCCAGTCATAGATTTATTCATTTTTCTTTTTTGAGTTTTAAAGATACTATATTTTTGTGTTAATGTAACATTAATACATAGAGTGCAGATTCAGTGTAATTCATAGGTACAATATATATTTTCATTGATGACTGATTTGGGAAAGCAGCCTTGTACAGGAATAATCCTGTACATTGAGAGAGATTATTGATTCTTTTAAAGACACAAGCTAATTAAAATTTGGCTTTTAAATTGTTGCCAGGTAGAATTATTTTGGTACTAGTTTTGATGGCAGCATAAGCACAACTCAAAACACTTTGGAAATGGTCAATCTCTTAAGTTGGTTAAGCATTCCCTCCTTTTTAAATAGTTCTAGATAAAATTCAATCTATGGCAGTGCTTGTCTGAATAATACAAATTCTGATTCAGTTGTGCTACTGTGAATGAATCTGTAAAGTATCTCCTTGCATTAGAACTTTTCAGACATCAAAAGGTTCTTTGAACTGAGTAATAAAGAAAACAAAAAAACACAAATTTTAGTGCTACCTGAGAGTTCTGTTTAATATTACCTTTGAAATTACTAATTATGTTACACATAAAGATTGGAAAGTGGTATTATATAATGTATGCATTAGAAAGTATCCTCACAGACTTTGATCCCATCAGACCCTCCCAGACTCCTTCTTTATTTCCATCATTACATTGATTTTTATGTTTAATGTTTATATAAGAAAATGTTTGGTGAATCCAGCACATGCTGACTGCCTCCTGCTTCACAAAATGTGATTTAATTATCTTTGCTCTTAGGGTAAAGCGTGTTGGCCACATGCCTTAAGACTAGAGCAAGATTTGAATAACACCACTTTTCAAACAGAGTGTTGGAAAGAGCTGAGAAGGTGCCCCTGCTCACAACGGAGGGTGGGAGCTTGAAGGGCTTTTTCTGTTTGAAAGCTTGAATTTGCAATACACTGTGTATGTGGCTGCCTGAATCAAGCTACCAAGCTCATTATAACCATCTCAATGAATGAGACAGAGTTTGCTTCAGCTGTCTCATGTTTGCAAGGAGGAATCCACAGCATGTGCATCGTTCTATCGCATATTGCTAGGCTGCATCAAGGCGAAGATCAGAATGAAGGTGCTGGCCATGTTGCTCCCTCTTCCACCCCTAGAACTGGCAGATCACACCTGAAACGCAATCCCCTGAATTAGAGCAGCCCTGGGTAGTCAGGAGTGCTTCCTGGGGGCTCCAAAGTCAGTGATACAATGCAGAACATCAGCCAGAGGAGAAAAGCGCAAGAGTCCTGATAAATGAATGAAGAAGCTGAGGACTTGTCAGTCTGGAGAAGAGACAACAGCAGCAGAGGGAATTGCCTCTTTCTGCAGCCTGGCTCAGGTGCTGGAGGAGAAGGTGCATTTCCTGTGAAGTAGGATTCATCGGCAGAAGCTCCTGGAGACAGTTTTGGTTCCCAACCAGCTGTCTCGGTATAGGACAAGTTGCCTCAAGCAGTGGCAATCTCCCTGTCACCAGCAGTATGCAAGCAGACATTGGATATAGGCTTTTGCATTGCAGACGGGCATAAAGTACCAATGTGAGGCAAGAAGTTCCACCAAATTACTTTAAGGTCTCAATCTATAGATGAACTAATCAAGTATTTATAAATGGCCTAATCTGTCTAATGGCAAGAAGGGCTTTGATTTTCTAAGTGCCCAGAAGTGAAGCTGCTTTTGTTTTTCTTCATCAGGAGATGACCCATTCCTGGCCCACTCCTCTCACTGCCATGCACACTCCTGGAAACGCTGAGCAACAGGCATTTTCCATCCCAGGACAGGTCAGTTCTCTTCCTCTTTCTATTTTCCATTGCCTTGTTTAAATTAGGCCAATCAGATTAGATATTTAATGGTAAAAATGGTGTCTGTCTTCTGGTACTATATAAATTCTCTCTTGACTCTCAGGATAGTCACACAATCATGATTTTTATTGAGAGAGTCTTTAAGACAATCTACACACAAATATTGACATGCAGGTCTTAGTAGCTGAACATTGCTATTGTGCAACCAACAGTTACAATAGCTAAGGAAAGAGAGTGGTGGCTCACTCCTGAAGGAAGACCAAACAGAAAATGCAACAAAAATGCCTTGGATTTTTTTATTAAAAAAAAAAAAAGACACACTGCCCTATAATGTATCTATTTCAGTTTTGATGCATCACTCCCAGTCCTGGCCCACAGACAGATCCTTACAAACTACCTTATCACATTGATAGAACTTTCTCCTCTACAATTCTATTATCACATATTCATAATGTTCTCTTCACCTGTTCTGAGTAAGAATTTATCACCACAACTTTGTTAATATCACATGTTAAATACAGAAAATTACTACCCTGACTTCTTTTTTTTCCTTTCTACTACTAATTTAGAAACCATTTACCAAGGGTATATAAGGAGCTAAAAGTTAGGAATGAAGGAAGTCCTCTAATTATTATCAGGTAAACAGTAAAGCGATGAAGTTGGTATTTTCATAGGTGATATGAAACTGATAAAAGCATTTAAAAACTCTCCCAGGGCTGAGGGTGTGCTCACTGGGAGATAGCAGTGTTTGGGTGATTAGGAGGCCGTCAAGTACAGAAAGATTCCAGCAAAGCCCACACAGAATCCCTGCGAGACGAAAGGCATGAAGAGATGAGTGCTCACGCTGTGATCCACTCTGGGAAGAGATTGCTATGGCTATGAGATATTTTGTTTCCTGCATGGCAGTGGACAGAGGAGCTCTGGGCAAGTAGGTACACCACCACTAGGGGCTTCGGTGCTACCCCAAGGAGTTAGGCCTTGATCTGTGAGTGGAAAAACACGCATTAGATTCTATAGGTTTCAGAGTCATGATTTGGACAGCAGTAAAGACCTAAACTGTGTTTCATGACCCTCAGTCACCGTCGAAAAGAATCGGAGTTAAATGAGCCGCAGTTCTCACTGTTCTGGTCTGGGAGCATGCCACGGCTTCCTGTACGCACACACTCCTGCTTTCATCTGTCCTGGGCTCAATATCCTTTTTGCCAGCATCTCAGCCAAGGGAAAAATCCACCTGTTTCCATGACTGCCTTTCTATGTGATACATCCATATCAATTGCAGTTGTGTTGTTTTTTTTTTTAAGCTGAATTCTCCTATTTTGTATATAATTTGTTCAAGTCATAATTTTGGCATTTACACGTGTGTATGATACAAATGGTTGTTTAAATGGGATTTTATAGTACATGCACATTTTGTAATAGGCACAGTTTGCATTTTCTGCCAATTACTGTGCTGCCAGTCCCAGGATAAAGGTAGGCTAAATAGTGCAGCAGGCTGAAATAACGCAGGCACGATGGCTACGCTTCCCCCTTCAAAATGTTGCTTTAAAAAAAAAGTGCCTTTTAAATAGCAATAGCAGCATCAGCAACACATAGAAGATTGGAAACGTTTCCTTGAAAAATGGAGTTTAAAAAGAATGAAAATTTTTCATAAGCTTTTTATAGCCTACTTATATAATGGTTTGATGAACCTCACCTCATTCTACACTTGATCCTAGCCAAAAGGGCAAGAAGGAATCCCTCACCTCATTCTAAGCACTTAGTATACAACAAATAATTCTGTGCTTAGTACAACCCCAAAGGATGGATAATTGCCTTATGCTTAGTTACAGCGATAAAAACTAAGCAGATGAGCTCCGAAACACACAGTAAGCGAAAGGACTGATATTTCCATCCAGATGTTCTAGTGTTAGTGGTCAGTTTTATGGATGCCCCGGTTCAAAGCATAGCTGACTCCAGGAAGTACAGTAACTGGGTTCATTGTCTTTGCCCAGTGCTCACAGCAGCCCCAGGTGGCACGCTCTCGGATGGTTCTGGTTTCCAACACCCCTGGCCGTGTAGCAAGCAGGGGAAGAGTGCTGGCTTAAGAGCTGCAGTCCTAGCTCTTTTCCCTGCAGGCTCTGCAACTTCCTGGCTGGGTGGAAGTGCTGCAGTGACTCTAAGGCTCATTTTCCTCCTCTAGGCCTGGGTGGTACGGGTGCTGAGGTGTATATGTGGAAGAACTACATAATCTCAATGGATTTTTCAGGTTAAATATTCTATGATTCTGTAAAATCATAAAAAGACAAATATTGTTGCAGAATTCTCAGCTCAGGTTGACTAATTGATGCTAAATTGAAAGAATAGTATGTTTTATCATAGAAAAAATCTCACAAGGAAGGAAGTACATGAAAGAGAAATAATTTCTTCAAAAATTTAGCAAAGACACCCAGCACGGGAAACATCCTCTCCAAGAGTTAACAAGCTGTAGCCTCTACATCCTTGCATTTTTTTAATGCTGAAAATTAGCTAAAGTGCTATAACAAGCAAAAAATGTTACATGTAGATATGTATGTGTATGTATGTACATATGTAAAATGTGTATTAGTCTACCATAAAATGAATATTCTGGCATCTTGTATGGCATGGGTGGAATTTGAGTACATTGTAATAAGTAAAACAAGCCAGGTACAGAAAGGGAAATAATACATGCTTTCACTTAAAGTGAGGAAAGTAAAAAAAGTTGTTTTCATACAAGGATAGAATCTATTAAAGGCTCAAAAGTAGAAGGGGAAGAAAGGGCAGAGGAAGATCAGAAAACAGGGACAAAGTAACAATCAGAGGAACAAGTGTCTGCTCCAGCATGGCTGGGGGACTTTAATATATATTAAATTATATATGTCATATATATATTGAACTTCACAGTTAGGTTTTTCATAATACATAATAACCACAATCTGTCTGAAGATAATACATAAGCATAAATATAAAAATTTTGCACAAAATGAACTTATGTTTGAATTTTGTTTTCCATAAACTGTATATCACTAGACAGTAATTGTGCCTTTGAGAACTGTGGAGATGGGAACTCTTGCCTTTGCATGAATTGGACACATTTTTTTTTTAAGGAACTGACTTTGCTGTGTCCTTTGTCTCTGGAATCACATAATATGGGTTTTCATAACTCAGTATTCCAAGTGGTTTTTCTTCTGGAAGTATTTCCTTTTGCTTAGTTTCTGTGGTTTGCAAAAAACTGAAAACCAAATGATTAAGCTTTTGTAAAGCCCTTTGTCTATCAGCAAAGCCAAAGGAAGCTTCGGAGCTGTTGAGACCTCTCTTGGGCCTTATGACGGATCTCCAGCTCAGAGGCCTGGGCTGTCTCTTGTTGAGTTAGGCAGTCTTCATGAGTGGTGATCGCGCCAAAAGATCAATCTCTTGGGCAGCAGAATCATGAAATGCATAGGAGAGTTCACTTTTCATCCAAGTGCAGTTACAGGTTTTGCTTCCTTTTTCTAAAAGATAATTTAAGCTGTGAGCTTGTTTTTAATCTGCAGGGTGACAAAATTAAGTTTAATGAACAGATTACTAAAAAAGCAGCAATCAATACAACCAATTTCTGTGTTTCATTGTATTCATTGTATCTCCAGTTTTGAAATGCGTGCTTTGTAGTCCGTGCTAATTCTCTCTCCTAGCTGTGTGGTGTCTTGTATGCTCTGAACATCACTGCAGCGCTCTGCCCACAAATTATGTCAGAATCCACACAAGTGGAACACTTGTGTGGGACACTCCCAGCCAGCCTGATGTATGTTCATCAGGATTCTCGATCTGGTATTCAGTGAAGGAATTGTCAAGTTTGACTTTCAAATAGAAATTAAGTATCTTTAAATAGTGAATTACACTAACATATCTCATGTTCTAACAATTCAACAGACTTAACATAAACTTTTTTTTTTAATTCTATTTGGTTGCAAGGGAGAGAGAGGGAAAAATAGAGAGAGAAAGAGAGATTTGACATCTGCTAGTTCATTCGTCAAGTTCCAGTGACAGCCAGGCTTGGCCAGGCCAAAGCTAGGAACCAAGAGCCGGAAGTGCAGTGCAGGCGACCCATGTGGATGGCATGGATTCAACTGCTTTAGCTGTCACCCGCTGCCTCTCAGAGTGTGTGTTAGCAGAAAAGAAGAATTGAGAGCAAAGACGGCAGACATGATGGAGCTGGGACATCAAGCTGTACACACTGACATGGGACGTGGACCTCTCTAGAGTCAGACAACTGCTCCATTATGAGTTTGAAAACATTTCTTCTGTACAAAATGATGTACAGGTCTTGTATGTCACAAATCAGGAAGAAAGTTGAAATCATTTGAATAAAAGGGAAAAACTGAAAGAATCTACTAAGTTTTCTTGTACAAAAACCATGGTCATTTCTTCTAAGTTCCCTTTGCTTCCTTAAAGGGATCCTTGCCTAGATGAATGAGAAATTCTACACTTGAATTTCACAATTATGGGTCATTTGTTCTGATGATGCCCATATTTCTCAAAACTCGTTTTGTCATTATGATGAAATGAGAGTTATGATCATTTCTGTAGTAAATGTTTTCTTCAAATGCAGTTACAGGCAGAAGCCTGATTAATGGAGTTGTTAACCACTGGTTTCCTATTTGCAAACAGTAATGAAATGGTATCTTTAGAAATAACAGATATACATTTTGTTCTGATATCATTTAGCTAATGTATGTGTTTTCTATATTCTTCCTTATAGGAATCTCAACATTTGACCCCGGGATTCAACTTACAAAGTAAGTGTTTTTGAAAAACCCTGCTTAGCTTAAACATCCATGCCTCCACGCCACCCCATGCTTGCTTCTTTCCTACTTAGAATCATGCAAGAAAAACTGTAACAAAAAGTTATGATGCATCCAATTGGCTCAATGTTTTTTATCTGTTATCATGACAGGAAGCTTTAACAATGAACAATTTGGAAGGTTGCAATTTACTTTTAATTAAGATTAGTCATTTGACGTAGCAACATAAACAGTAATTATTCGTGTCTTTTCTTTTCAGAGTGGAGTGATCCAACCAGCAGAGCATCTACAAAGTCAGTATCATTCAAATCATGAATATTTTCAGAGCAACAAAATAGTGCCTCAGTGCTGTTAGTCTTATTGTGGTTCTTCCTCTGTAAGCTATGAGCCTTGGTTCATTGTAATATGAACTTTGATCAGGGGAGGAGCGTCAGGCTTTCCATGGTCATAGTCTATTTGGTCTGTTGTAACAAATGCCATCAATATGTGGCTTATAAACAGCAGAAATTTATTGCTCACAATTCTGAGAGTGGGAAGTCCAACACCTAGGGTAGATTTTGTGTCTGGTAAGGGTCTGATTTTGGTTCATAGGTGGAGCCATTTTGTGGTGTCCTCACATGATGCAAGAAGTAGAGTCCTTAGCTTGTTGAAAGCACACCAATCTCAGGATGTCTCAAAGGTCCTTCATCTTAGTACCATCACCCTGGAGGAGAGGATTTCTATATATGGACTTGAGGGGATACAGATATACATGCTATAACATTCATGGCATGTATACAAACAGTAAAACAAATGCATCATCATTAGATTCTCTAAATGCATAGAGCGACTGAATTAACTTGGAATATGAAAGCAACTATGATTTGAGTGAATAAAAAAACTGTAGGTGAGTTGCTTCCTACATTTTGACTAATTCATTTGAGCGTTGCTTAACTTCAGCTACATGTAGCATCTTGCACCATATTCAGCTGCCTCTGACTAGGATGGACAAGGGATACAGCTAAGCAGCCATAACCGGACATGAAATACAGAATAGCTTGTCGTGACCAGTCAACCTAAAACCCTCTGTTGTAAGTCCATCTGACACCTGTATATTTAAAGACAACAAGCACAACCAGGAAGGGATAGAATAAGAGATACGTGATACTAGATTGCAGTTCAGAAGTCAAGACTTTGTAAATCACTTGGCACTGTCAAGCAACTGTAACTGTGGCATTACAGGCTATTTTTATTTTTTCATTAATGTTAACCAAAGGACAAATTTGGAAGAGCCAATTTCCTGAGATTAACTATTGTAGATTTCATAACATCCATTTGTCCAAGAATATATTAAAGGAACATTTCTTTCTGAAATCCTCTCCTAATAATAGAAAATCACTATCAACTTTTCTGTGAATGATAGTTACATACTTGAAATTTTTCAAAATCAAATCATTTATCATCTGCAAGAAATTTATTGTCAATTACTCACATATTGGAACTTCATTGATAATTGCATAAAACAATTGGGAGTAACTCCCAAATAGACTGAGCTATTGAGAGAGGCAATAGCATTCTTTGAAGTTTAGTGGTAAAGTACAAAAGACTTGATGCCATAGTCAACCCTCTTTCCCCCCTTTTGCTTGATCTATGCCTTCTAATTCAAAGTTCAATTTCAATACCTTCCATTTTAAAAATAGAGAAAATGTGGTAAAAAGGGGAGGAAATGACAGCACAACCCCAAATTAAGGTACCTGCCACTTATGGAAACACAGAAATAAAAATTATCTTTGATAATGTTCATTTTAGCTGTTTCGGTCATCAGGTTTGGAATTATCATTTCCCTCCGTAAACTAGCAAACCACGGATCTCATACTCCCTGTCTCCACTCCTGCCTTTTCTTACTCCTATTAAAAGTCACTAAAAGGCCCACGACAGTGGCGTTACAGGTTCATCTTTGGCACGTTAGCACTGGCATCCCATATTGGCACTTGTTCGTGTTCCTGCTGCTTTCTTCCAATCCACCTCTCAACTTATGGTCTTGGGAAGCAGTGGAGGATGCCACCCATCCTTGACCACTGCACCCACGTGGGACACTGGGAGGAAGCTCCTGGCTCCCGGCTTCAGACCAGCTCTTTAAAATCTGCTTTTCAAATAAAAATAAGCTTTCTTGAAAAGTTATTGAGTACAGACACGCGATGCATGCATAGAAACATGCATACACACACACACACACTTCTAGGAAATCGATGCAGGTTTTGAAACTTGGAAAAGCATGAAAGTATATTTTGCATTGTAAATGTTCTTATTCCTAAACAAGAAGAGTATGCTTCCACTCTGAAATGTGCTACTCTATACGTACTATTGAATTCAGTTGTTTGTAACTAATAGAAATAAACTTATCATCAGTTGTGGCTTATAGCTAAATGCTGCATTATCCATAGAAAGTTCATCCAGCTGCAGTATCTAGTACAGCCCATCTGAAATTCTCGACAGGAAGTGCCAGTAGAACCAGTGGGCAGTCCGTTTTTTGAAACGAATCACTCTTTTTGGACACTTAATCTAAAGTTCAAACACTATCCATCAGACATCAGCTAGAAGTTCCTTCCTTGACCGTTTCTTATTCTCCTGTATTTTTCCTAGAATGTGCTTTTAAATCAACTTCTGAAACATTCCCTGTGACAGGGCGATGTCTCAGAGATTTGGCATATGGACTCTTTGAGGGTGGACAGATTGCTGGCACCTAAAGATGATGCAAAGCAGCCCTTACGTCAGGCACATGGCCAGAAAGACACCCACCCAAGGCCAACAAATGTGCTGGGCACACTTCTACAACTTAGAGATTTGGAGAGCGATTAGAGACTTGTAAAACATAATCCCTTAATTACTGGGACACTTTATTCATTTCCTTCATCTTGGCTTGCTTCCCCAAATTGGCGAAAGACAGATCTTCCATCTAAGTATGGATTCTTTGTGAAGCCTACGGACATGGGCACTTGGTCTGAAGACATTGGCTCCTGCAGACCAGAAAACAGGCTTGAAGCAGCCAGGTTCTCCCATTGTTCTTCACAGTTGCTATGTCTATGCGTGACCCTAGCAGCATGACTGGCATTCCAGAGGACTCGATATTTTGTCCTCAGTGTATGACCCATTGATAGAATTTCTTTATGTGGAATTTTCATCCTTAAGGTCGCACCCTGCTTGCTCCAGCCAGAACCCTGAATTACCATGAATTGGGGCAATTCAAATGAGGAGTCTGCAGAGCTAGGCTGCACCTTTGCTCAGTAACAGTTGTGGCTTTCAGAGTGAAAGCTGTGACCCTGGATTTGAAAAGATTTAAGATAAAGGCATGCAGGAATTTAATTTTTGAAGTGTTTTCACAGATTCTTAAGGGAAATTAAACAAATTAATGAGCATAATAAACCTATACTTCAATTGTCTTCAAACTTTTTGAAGCCTCTTCTTATGTACATAATGAACACATATATAAACACTTGTCTGAATTCATATGTAAGCAATTATGTCGTTTTGCTAAAGTCAATCATTTATTTATGAATGCAAGCAGCAAATTGTAGTAGCAATAAAAAGACCAGCAACTGAATCACCAACACAGATCACAGCAATTACAGTTTTCATTCTTTCTCAGTGAGACTGGCTCTTTAATATATTGATATTCAGTGATATCTGTATTTATATCTTAATAATGGGGTTCCAGATAATGTTCTTTGTGATCACATATACTTTATGATGCACATTAAAAGAAAAATAGACTTCAACAGACTGTCAACTGGGCCAATGACCTACCAAAAAGCAGCAAATTGGAGTTAAAGTTCAGAAAGATAATGGGAAAATATTATTGTGGCATAGGCTCAGCTGACCCATGCAACCCCAGGAGGTATACACTTTCTCTGAGTACCTACTTTTATAGACAATGACTTTCTCTGAAAAATTGTAAATGATGATATTTGCACATGGTCATGGGTTACAGTGTGACATTTCAGTACTCATATGCAATGTGTGCTGATTTATTCAGGATGGTTAACATTTCCTGTTCCTGCCCTTTCCTTCATGATTGGAGGCTTGGGACATTTTGTTCTGTTTGTACAGTGTCTGCTAGGCTGTTGTGAACTCCACACTATGCTATACTGCACACTAGGAACTTGTTCCTCCAACTCAACTCTATGTGTTACTCACGATCTGAGCTCCCTCTATCCCACCTACCCCTTCAACCCCTAAAAATCACCATATGTATTCATACTGGGTGTTTTGTTTTTTAGAACTTACATATATAAGGGAGAATAAGCACAATTTGTCTTTCTATATCTGGCTTAGTTCTTTTTTCTCATTTTAAATTATTTTTAAATGAATTATTATTTTATTATGCAGTTATACTTGGTTTATTTCACTTAATATTTTGTCCTCCACTTCCATTCATTTTGCTCAAAGTATAGGGTTTCATGATTTTTAGGAATAACTCCATTTTCTGTAGTCATTTATTTTGGCAACTGTAATTAGTGCTGCAAAATACATGGTGCAGAGGTATCTCTTTGATTCAATATCTTCTGGATATGGATCCAGTAATGGGTAATATGGTAGTTATATTTCTAGTTTTTGAGAAATTGCCATATTCTTTACTGAGCTCCTCTTTCATCATATACACACTGGTATTTATTATCTTCTTTTTGACAACAGTAATTCTAACAAGGATGTGGTAATATTCCCTTGTTGTTTTGATTTATATTTTCGTACAGCTAGTGATATTGAACATTTTCATATGTATATATTGCCTACTTGGATTTCTTTGCTCATTTCTCAACTGGGTATTTTTATTTTTTACTGTTGTTGAGATTTCTGAGTCCTTGATATATTTACCATAGTTTTCCTTTGTTAGGTTGCTTACAAATATTTCACTCTATTGTATACGTGTTTATTGCTTCCTTTGTTGTCCCAAATTTTCAGAAATTTCATATAATCCCTTTTGTCTAGTTTATTTTTTTTGCCTGCATTTTTGTGATCCTATATGATAAAATGTTACCTGTACCAATGTCTTGAAATGTTCCCTCTGTTTTCCTAAATTGAAAACCTGAAGCTATGACATTCCTAGAGGAAGACAAAGAACTTGGATTTTCTTTCTTGAGTGACTTTGTCTTACTGATTGGAAAGTCTTATGAATTGCTTCTCAGCAAATTGATCTTATAAAAATGCATGACCTTATAGGTCTTTATCATCTTTCATAAATATTATGAGATACACTATGTTGAATTGCCGGGGTGAATTTTTATACAGCTTCGATGAACTCTGTAGTATTCATCTA